ATCGAGCTCTACAAACGCTGAGAATTTCAGCCAATTCTGAGAAAGTCGATGTAAACGTGGTACGCTTCCCATGGATTCACCCTCTATTTTTTTCATCTGTTAGTAACCAACAAGCAGATTGTTTGTGCAAATATTTTGTTTGGTTGTTGATTGAAACTTTAAAATAACTATTTTGGATGACAGGTTTTATTGTATCACCGACTTTTATTCCAGAAAAGTCTTTCTTCGTCGTAGTGATGAATTCGGTGGTAACATCTTGTTCATCATTATCAGAATGATCATTATCCGAACACGAATCGTCACAATTATAATCATCATTGTAGATATCGTTTATTACTTCGTCATCATCATCTGTAGCTAATTCAAACTCTTCATTGTCAACAATATCTACTTGAGATGAACAGTTGTACATCTTAGAATTTACATTTAAGTGCCCGAATACATATTCACTTAATGGCTTTAAATCCAGAACATGTCGTTGTTGTAATAAGTCTAATACTTCTAAGTCATCAAATATATCAACAGCTTCATCATGTGTATCGGCTATGACTTGTTCAACATCTAATTGATCGATTTCATTCTGACATTGTGTGGATAACGATTGCCGCTCATTTCGATGCTTATAGTGAAGAGGAAAGATTAATTTGTCAACTGATGAATCATGCAACTGCTTATATTTAATATCATTGAGCAATGATAATTTTTGAGCTCTTTGTAAAAAATCATGTACAGTAAAATTAACAACAGTTGAGTAAATTCCGCTTAATGCACTTGTATTTCTAAATATAGATCCACAAGCTTGTGAGTTAAAAACACCAATATTTAATGCATGTGGTGGTAACTGTTTCTGTTTTACAAGTGAAATTAAAAATAATAGGTTATGTGCATTAAGTTCTACGGACATATAGGCCAAGCAGATTGTAGCCGTAGAATCACAATTTTACTGGATGAGAATATCTCGTTAATTGGAAATGTATCTATGATCTACGAATAAATATAATTAATCAGAATACTTACGTTCAGTAATTGTTGTTCTTTTTTTTAATATAAGCTACAATGATCATTTTTAACATTCGAAGATAAATAAAAGTGTCTCGAGTGTTTACATTCTCGCTTAAAATTTGAAGAAGATCATCAGATGTCAATTTCAGACACGAGCTAAAATTTTGGCGATCTTTAGGGTTAATGTCGGATTTTGTTAAACAAAAGTCGAATTTAGTAAATGCTGGATTACTAATAATATCATATAAGTGGTCGACTGATATACTTTTACTACCAATACGTAATTCAGCTGTCGAGGATAATAAACGATTTCGCCATTTAGTGACTAAATGCGTGGCATCTTGAAGAAACAACAAAAGTTGTTCTTTACGTAAATAAAACCAAGGCCATTGTGATTTTATTTGCATTTTAAAAGCTTGTGGATGTTCATGAATTTGAAAATTAGGGATAGAACCAAAGAATCCACTAACCAAACGCATAGCGCGTAAATATTTTGGATCAGCATCTACAACGAAAAAGATTCTTGACCATTAATATTTGATATCTTTAAATTTGAACTTGAGATTAACGTATTTAACATAGTTGTATTTGGTAAACATTCGGGTAAATTTAATCTTACGAACTCATAAGTTAACTTTCCCCCGAAAATATATAACGATAAAGCAAAATTTTTAATAGAATCATTGTATCAAAAATGATTACTTGGTTTAATCATATTATGAATAATAGTATTAATAAAATCTTTTAAAAATTCATACTTATCATCATAATATGTACCAGCTTGATCAACTGATAGATACCAATCAATAAAAAATTTTAATAACGGATGCTTGTTGACAAATTCATATGATAAACCAGGATAAATAGAATCTGCTTCCAAAGAATCATTTTTCATAGCTAATTTTTGTTGCTTTTGTTTCAAGAAATCTAATAGAAAATTTAAATTACTTAATAACCCGATCTTCACAACGAAATTTCCATCATTAATTTGAAAACATGATCTTTGTCTTATTTCGAGGAATTCAGGTTCAGAACAATTCATTTTGAAGATCTCGAAGATATTCGGGTTTCGAATAAGAGACTGTGTGGAGAAAATCGATTGAAACTTTAATATATCAGCAAGTTGTTGTCCAACTAATGCATTAACAAAATTATAAAACTGTTCATTTTTTAAATAGAACACATTTTCAATCAAACTTATGTCCATTTTACGAAAAAAATTGTTTTTGTCGGTATTTATCTTAAAGAGATAGAAAATAA